GCAATCACAGTCTAGTGGTACTTCATGGATAGAATCCTTGTCTACTCTACAAATATAAGTTATAGTGGCACATAGAAACAGCCAAATATTGCACAGCAAGACAGCAATAACAATGAAACAATCCATCCAAAACCAATAACACAGAAAACGTATGGCACATACAATGGCACAGGCCAGCGAACAAAACAGTGCCGCTGACGAAAAACGACAAATCCGAGTGGCCATAATGACGGGCATTTGGACAAGATTCAAAAACAGAGCGCAACAAATGGCCAAATGAGTCGTCACATAGCCAAATGAGCTTTAAAATCATAAACAGCCGTGATGCCTTCAAATGTCGAACGACTACCAGACATCTTATCCTCACTACGCTACAGAGACGCTTGCTTGCTTGCCAGAGATACTATGCTTGCTTGCGCGCCGAGTTGCAATGCTGCTCCTGGCTATGTGCCATACTGTGGCTTAATTTCTTGCAACCACAAGGAAATCCCTCTAGGCGCACTTAAGGTGCGCCAGCCAGGCAAGACTTAAGCTCGACACGCATCAGCCGGCTACGGGGTTCCGCTAAATCCCAAGAATAATCAATTTACGGTGCATGACTGCCATTCCAGCGAGTATCCAACTTTGGGCTTTTCTTTACTTCATTTGTCGAGGCGCTTCGTTTCATGGGGGCCATTCCGCACTTTGTGTGTCAATAGAGATGCTTTCTCTTGGCAATGTTTCAATATCCGGCCACCTGGCTGGAAAGATGCGAGATGTTTCACGATATCACGCCCCGACTTGGGGTTCACTTGCCAGTTATCCATCCCCTTGCTCAAAATCGGCCGGCCAGCACTGAGTCGGGCGGCGTGAACGAACCCCATCGAAGTACCTCAAGGTTGGACAAATGGACGGCGCGGGTCACAGCCTGGACTCGGGGTCAAAGAGGCAACGGATTAGAGTTTGTGCGGAGGCCGCGACAGCCGGGACTCTGGTAGCATTAATTGTATTTACGTCCTGGACACCCTACTGATGAATTTGGAACGCTGTCTCTTCGGGCCTCCGAACACCCGCGATCACAAAGGAACGGTTCAAGGAAATGCCAAAATTTTATCAAATGACGCCGGCTGTGATGCATGTAAGAGCTTATCGTCGTTTCCCACAACTGATTACGATGCTTCCGTACGCATCTTCTTCATGTTCCAGGAAAACATTTGAGCACTATGATTCATATCTTGGAGAACGTATCATTGTGTCCATATGGTGAGCTTGCCGATGCCACATTTTCTGCAGGCGTGAATGCATCACGCACATGCTTGTCGGTAGTGTACTTTCTGATTCAGGCTTAAGTTAATTTTGATACACGCTATATTTTAATGATTCGGATTAACCCTGCATCGTACGCTGGGTTGTCTGAAGCCCATGAGACAACGGCAGTTGCCTCATCCACTTGTGCATAGGCAATAATTGTTAGCGCATTAGGAGCGCGGCAAGCCATGTATGACCAGCGTGCTGTGGTCTGACTTCAGCAGAACCTATTCCGACTCCGACTCGCGAGCCATGGGACTGATTCCAATTAACCAAACGGTGGAGCGCAGCTCTGAGTTGATTCCGATTCGTCCCAGCGAATACAGTTCCAGCATGCAACTGGTCCACTGGCAGCGGCTTGGGAGATCGCACGTTGTATGGACTTCATAACAGCCGGACAGAACATTTATTTGATGGTAATACAGTCTCTGTGCCTGTGGTGAGATGTGAATACAATGTCAGGCTATGCAAACATCATCCGGATGCTTACTTGAGTTGTCTCGCCGGTGGTCCGGTTCACTCAAGTCCGACTAGTCACAGGATCCTTCAAAGTGATCGATTCCATCCTGACTCGAGAACTGCCAATTCCGGGACGGATTCCGACTCCAACCGAGAGTCACAAGTCCGATTCCGGCAATAGTGTGACAAGCAGCAATACAAAGCGTTTCTGGAAGGGGGACTCAGAAACGAGACAGGCCTGGCATGTATACACAGTCATGTTCCAGGCTCATTTCCTGGCCTTGCTCCATGACTGAACACTAAATACGCCTTCGCGACGAGAACCATATGTTGTCCGCCTCGTTCCGAGAACCTCGGAAACAAATTTACCAAGAAAGCATTCACACCGATGCAGGACGACACGTTGCACGAGGACAACTTTTGACTCACAAGTTGCCGTGAGCGCCCTCAATTTCCCAAGTCGGGACCAGAGCTGCCTCGCCAGAAGCAGCCGGCGGAGACCAGGGCGCCAGGGCCCGCCGCCTGACGGCCGAGTTTCCGGCGGCCATGCTGGGCGCACCCCAGTCGCCAGTGCCGGCGCCGGCGGCCACCGGTGCAGCCAGCCGGCAGTCGTCCGGATGAGATGCGCGCCGCCGCGCTGAGCGGCGATTACCAGCCGAGCCGGGGGCGGGGGCGGCAGGCGGGGGGGGGGGGGGCGGCAGGCGGCCGGTGGCCGTCCCCCGGCACGGTATGCGCCGGCGCCGCTCCCGCCGACCACAACACTACACTCAACTGGCACGTGGGCCACAACAATGCCCGGACACCGCCAGTTCGTGGAACGTGGAGAGCAGGCGAAGCGGTCGCCGTGGCGATGGGTGCACAGCAACCACATGACAACCCAGACAGCCCAGAAACACGACCGCACCACCGTGTGAGCCTACGCCTGTGCGGCGCGCGCGCCTGACCGCCAGCCGGCCGGCCCCGGCGCCGCCGCCCAGGCGTGCGGACTGCCGTGTCCCGTCGCCCTCCCCCTGAGGGCAGCCCGGGGGCCGCACCGGTCCCGACGCCGCCGTCCAGGCGTGCGTCCCGGCACCAGCGGACCGCCGTGTCCCGTCGCCCTCCCGAGGGCAGCCCGGGGGCCGCACCGGTCCCGACGCCGAAGTGGGCCACCGCGCGCGAGGCGCGGCGGAGCTGGGAGGAGACCGACACCAGCGCTCCCCCGGCCGTCGACGTGGCCCGGTCCCTCGACCGCCCATTCCAGAGCACTCCCAGCGGACAAGCTCGACACCTGTCTGCGACTCGGGACCACATTACGGACCAAATAAAACAACAAAAACGGCGCACGTCACTCAAAACCAGCCACGTGCGTTCAACCTTGTACACACCGCACAAGAGCGAGCCCCACGCACCACTCGGCGCACGTCCACGGAGAGCCACCGGGCCGGCACGCCGACAGAACGGGCCGCCGCCCCGAACGGCGGCTCCCACCCGGTCCCGCAGCCGCTCACCTGCCAGGATGCCGGGCTGCGCGAAGAAGGAGGTGTGCCGGTCCACAGCCTTGGCGCCCATGCCGTCCAGGCTGCCAGACGCCGGCCGGCCGTGCACGGTATCGTCCTCGATGGCGTTGTCGACGTAGGCCGTCAGCGTGACGTCCGGCGGGATGGTGATGCCGTTGTCGTGCTCCTCCATGTAGTCGAGGAACGTGTCGTCCGGCGCCGGCGTCTGCGGGCAGGGGCGGGGTCAGCCGAGGCCCGGTGTGCAGGGTTAGGGATGACGGCAGAACGTGTCATGGCGACATCGAAAACGTGAAACAACTGGCCGGATGTCGGCCGGAAAGGCACGCCATTCACGTCCCAGGGAATACAATCGTCAACTCATGAACGGCCTTACCCGCATGATTCGCTCGACCATTACACGACGGCAACCACCGCGATTTATTACAATGACCGTGACGACGTGCACAGCGAGGAGCTCGACACAGCCAACAGCAGCGGCGAGCCAGCGCCGCAATCAGCGGGCAGTGCCATCCAATTCAGGCCACGCTCGTACCCCACGCCCCACCCACGCGATCTGAACGCCGGCTGCGGCCCCCGCCCACGGCTGCGCCGGCCGCAGCTGCGTCCGCTGGCCGGGCGTAGGCGACCTCGGTGGCCGCTCCGTCCCGGACCGCCGCCCGCGGCGGCAGGTCGGTCATCGGGTGTCGGCCACGGCCACAGGCACTGCACTGAGGCGTGACGGTCGGCGACGGGGACGGCCTGCCCCCCCCCCCCCCCCCCCCCTCCACCCTCCCCCCGGACCGCCGCCCGAGGCGGCAGGTCGGTCGTCAGACTCGGCCACGGCCACGGGCACGGCACTGAGGCGTGACGGTCGGCGACGGGGACGGCCTGCCCCCCCCCCCCCCCCTCCCCCCCCCCGGACCGCCGCCCGAGGCGGCAGGTCGGTCGTCAGACTCGGCCACGGCCACGGGCACGGCACTGAGGCGTGACGATCGGCGACGGGGACAGCCTGCCCCCCTCCACCCAGACCACTGCCCGAGGCGGCAGGTCGGTCACTGGACGTCAGCCACGGCCACATGCACGGTACCGAGGTGTGACGGCCGGCGGCGGCGGGTACGGCTCCAGGGAGGAGTGACCTCATGACCTCGGGTCAACACGCGACGCCCATCCCAAGCGCCGCGATGCGCGATGCAGGACTAAGTTGGGACATGCTATAGTTCATTTCTGTCAGCACGATCAGCCGCTGACAATGACGGACGGCTTGCCGGACTCTACGACTGGACATGTACGGCGCCAAAACGGCTTGGTGATTAGTTTTGAGCGCCTGTGCAGCTCTGTATATCGTCAGCGACGACAAAGAGTACCGACAGCGGTATGACTGATCGCTCCGCCAGCTATCTCGTTATCAACAGAGCCAGGGCGGCTGCAGCCCTTTTGAGCCAGCCTGTCGAGGGCGCGCCACCGGCCCCGTGGTGACTAACAGACGGATCAGCTATCAGACAATCCACTCCACTCCTAGATTAGTCAGCTTCCCGCGGGATACGGCCGGAGGACGGGCCTTCGTCAGCCTCAGATAACGACTTCCCACTGGTGAAGTGCTTTGACTTTACATGCGCAGCCACGAATGGTTGGACGGCAATAGATCGCTGTGCCGCGCTGCCAGCACGCCCCACTGCCAGGTGTCGCAGCTTTAACAAGGATCCCGCAGCTCTGAAGCTGGGCGAACCTGGGCGGCAATTGGGACGCTCATCCACACCGACTCCGCATCAGCGTCCGATGGGAAAACAGACCAGGGCCCGGCCCGACACGCGAGCCGGCTTCGTTAAAGCCGACACTCGGGACCAGCTCACAGAATGAATGGCCCCATAAACCGGCCAGAATCTCGGAAAACGGGCCGGCGCTGGACGGGACACGGGGGCGGGTCGGAGAGACCCCGAAGCCCCGGACAGGACACGGGCGGGTCGGATAGACCCCCAAGGCCCCGGATAGGACACGGGCGGGTATCAGGCCGGGTCGGAGGGACCCCGAGGCCCCGTACAGGACACGGGCGGGTCGGATAGACCCCCGAGGCCCCGGAGAGGACACGGGCGGGTATCAGGCCGGGTCGGATAGACCCCCGAAGCCTCGGACAGGACACGGGCGGGTACCAGGCCGGGTCGGAGGGACCCCGAGGCCCCGAACAGGACACGGGCGGGTCGGATAGACCCCCGAGGCCCCGGACAGGACACAAGAGCGGGCCGGAGAGACCACGAGGCCCCGGACAGGACACGAGGGCGGGTCGGAGAGAGCCCCAGGCTCAGCCCGATTCACGCCCCGGCAGCATAGCACACCCGCGCCGCTCAAACCCCCGCCGCGGATCAACGTAATCCCTTGCCCGCGCTGCGGCCGCTGTCTGCCAGCGAGTACTCGCTCACGCTCACACACGCGCCTCGCTTCGGGGGCCGAGCCGCACTGACCTGCGCCGGCGGCCGCACCTCCGAGCCGAAAACGGGCTCCTGCTTGCGGCGAGGCACCGTCTCCTCCGTGGGCCGCGCGGCCGGCGGCAGCGCGTGCACCACACCAACATTGTGCACCCGGTCCTCGTGGTGCACCGGGTCCTCGTGCACGTGGTCCGGATGCTTGGACGAGTCACCTGCGGAAGGACACGAACGCTCGGTTACGAACAGAGCGCGGACACCGCTGGTGGCCATGTTTGACACGTAATTCCTGTTCACCAAGTTCACGGAAGACCGGTACACGGCGCGGCAGAGTCTGGGCGTGTATTCGCAGCGAGCCGGACGACAAAGACTTTACGTGACGTCACGTGGAGCATTTGCCGGACGCGCAGAATCTTTTTCAGCGACTAGATCGGAATGGTACAGAAGTGGCGCAATACATTCTACGACAAAGAGGTTAATTTACGTGCCCAGGACCGACCACGAGAGAAAACAATGCGTTTCATGCGTCGCAAGGAGCATAATTTAAAGTTCCCACTCTCATGAGCAGTACGTACCTGTAAACGAAAATATTGTCTTTGAATACGCATTTATTGTCACGACAGTTAAGGAGACGTAAGTAGAAAACGAATCGCCTGCGAGAACGCCCGGCAAAATTTTTTCGTGACGTCACATATAATTGACATCACGTAGAATAGCACATTCTTGGTGCGCTCCGAATACGCTCCAAGACCGTGGTTTCTGAGTGAACACGAGGCAGCACGGTGGTGGTTGGAATCACGAGGAAGAATATCCCATGTTCGGGCACTTCGTGCGAGTTCCCGTCGATTGCCGTGGGCATAACAGACGCCACACGACACAAAACGACTGCGATTAATTTCTGCAGCTCCCGAACAATTTCCGGTTTCATCGACGCAAGCACGCGACGAACACATCAGCGCCATGAAGCGAGATCGTCAAGAACGGCTGCCGTCAACAGCGAGCCGCGCACGCGTCCGGCCGTGGCCGTTATTTGCCGGTGGCGGCGGTCCTGTGCCGCCGGCGCGGGGCTCGGCCGCCTCTCCGCCGTCGTCCGGCGGCCCAGCAACACCGGCGCTGGACGGCGGTCACGCGCCCGACAGCTGGCCTTCGCCGCACATTGCCTGCACCGCCCGTAACGACGCATTCTCGGCGGCAAATCGGTGTCGGATGGCCACGGCAGCTCGACGATGACCGGCTCAGGCGCGGTGGCGGTGCGTCGCGCTGGGCACGGACGCTGCACGCGCTGCACGGCGGGTGGCCCTGTCGCGCGTGACTAGCGGGGCGCGGCGCCGAGGTGATTGGGGTCGGCCGCTGGGGACGCGCCAGAGCGGGCGAGCGGCGAGGTGGATGGAAGATCGCCCAGAGGCTCAGCCACGCCCCCACGGATTAGGCACCACGGCAGCGACCACCACAGGCGCACCGTTCCGCCTGAAGTTGCTAATAGGCCACCACGCTAATTCCTCAAAAAAAGAAAGAGGTGAGTTCAGGTCTTAAAGGCATTTTGGACAGCACGGGGTTTCTGGTGCGTCTGACGCCACATCGTAACGAGGCAATTGGTCTTGTTTCGCAGAAGTGAACAGGCCACGCGTAGCAGCCACCTGGATACAAAAATGTGAACGATGATTTCCCCATCTTACCACATTCTTTGGCGAAACAGGTGAACGGACTTTCGGAGCACGTTAAGTTCTTACACCACACGTAGATACAGCCATAACCCAGCTTGATAACCTAGTTATCTGGCTTTTCTATTCCAGACACGAGCAGGCCAGGACCTGGAACGCATCAGCTGATTGCACCACCGAATCACCGAATGACGTCACTAACCGGCAGGTACGAGGACTTTACAACCCCACATGGCTGTGAACTCGAATCTACTGGAGCATCCGCTACCAAAAGGTGGCGGCATTTACGGGCCACGTAAGACTTATATGACTTCACGCCATGAGACATAATGCACCTGGCAATGAGAGGGTTTATAAAACTCCCAAAATGAGACAGCGCCAGCACGCTCCGACCATATTATTTCGGGAAGGGCACCTGAGCCCGAGCGAGCCATATGTGGCGGATCTGGTACGAAATTTGGAACTAAGTCGGACGAAGCCGATTGGCGGCAGGCCAACGTTTGGAGTGGCGAGTTACAGGTAAAGAACAATTCGCGTGAGGCTTTGCATTAAAGCTATTCTGTGCTATAAGCCGGAGATGCGCGCGCAAAACGAGAAAGACAACACCTGGGAAAATCAGAAAAAAGACGAACAGAGCCACGTGTACTGCGGAACCCTCGCGCTGAATCCACTTCAGCACAAAATACTACCGGCTGGGTGTCCCCGAAGCATCTATGCAGCGACCTCCCGTATGGACACTAAAGCTGAGTTGCGATGTAGCCAGAGCAGTGTCTGTGGGGCCTGGACACCCCAGTGCCAGTGAGGACATCACAACACGGCCGAGTTGGCGTCCGTGCGCCACACGGGTCACCTGTGCGCCACACGTCACCCGGTGACCGTGCGCAACAGGTTACTGGGTGCGGCGGCAGGCTGAACCATGATGGTGTCCGCGTGGAGGGTCAAAAACCGTTGCGTCGCATACCAGCCAGCACGCGCCGGGGGTGAGTCAGTACGCGGCAGTACGGCGCGCGATGTCACGTACGACCGTGCCGAAGGTGCCGGGGTGCCGGCGGCAAGCTGCCTCGGCGAGAGCTGCCGCTGGAGCTGACCTGGCGGGGAGCGGCCCGCCTGGCAGCGTGGGGCGCGGCCCGCCTGTTCCCCCCCCCCCCCCCCCCCCTCCACCCCAAGACCGCCCGACAGTGCAGGCGGGAGAAGAATTGACAGCAACAGCCGAGGAACACGCCGTGTGTCGGCGCTGAGGGGACGATCGGCGGCCAACAGCGGAACACGGCTTCAGCCCGTGTCCAGGCTGGCGGGCGACGAGTGCGCGCAGAAACCAACCCGGCGCAACAGTGCCTCGGAGCAACGCGCAACCAAGGGCGCAAGAACTCACCCCCTCTCCAAGAGCTCGCTCTGCAGAGCACGTCAGAGTTCACACGTCAGCAGTGATGGGTCGCTCAGATGGAGCGCGCCCAGCTCCGAACGCGCACATCCTCGGTTCGAGAAAAACAAACGCCGACTTTCCTTCGTCATATACAACAATGTGGACCGTGAGTAGCTCTGTCAGCGACCCATCCCGTGTTTAGCGCGTCTGGCCGCTCCTCCTCTCCAGCCGCCCTGCAGATCCCCGCTGCGCCACTGAAGCCGTCAGTAGCCGCCCCACCTCAGCACTCGGTGCGGGCGTCACTCCTCGGCCTACGCCTCGGCGCCTTCCCACGTCGCGGCCGCCGACACGCCCCAGACGGCCGTCAGCGCCGGCGCCCGATCGCACTGAGCGCCCGCTGTGACATGCTCGACATGGCGGCGTCACAGTGCCGTCGGTGCCAGGCGCCGTTTACGCCGCGCGCCGGCGCCCGCTGACACGCGGAATGCGCCGCTTCTGCCGCGTTTATTTACCCGGTCGGTGTCGGCTGGACGGCAGGTGACGTCACGGCCGCTCCGGAGGCCGTGACCGCGGCGGGTCGACATCTGAGGCGCCGGCGCCGCGCGACAAGACCGCCGTCACGGGTTACGAGCGGCCGCGCCGCGCCGGCGGGTGCTTCAAAGGGCTGCCGTCGCGGCCGCAGGGCGTCGGGAGGGGAGGGGGCAGGCGGCCGGCCCCCGCGGGGCACGCCGCGGGCGGCACGCCGTCGCGGCCGTCGGCCGGCCGGACAGTAGCGGCCAGCCGCGTCAACAGACGACAGGCGGGGCCGCAGAACGAAAATACGGACGTTGGCCGAGCGGCGGGCCGGCGAGCTGGACAGGGCGGTAGTCACCGGCACGGCGTCCGCTGCAGCGCTCAGCCCACATCAGGAGACGGCCTATCTCCGGTGCAATGCCTCGTTCGTTACCCGAGACACCGGCATGGCTTCTCCCACTCGCACTGCACCCGTCAGACAAGGCTGGTGAGCCGGCTGTCATGCTGCGTGCCTCATCAGAGGCCCGCCGGCATTAGGACGCGAAGGCGAACACTCCTCACACCTGGGAGCGGCATTACCACTTGGCAGGTGGTTTCCCTCCTTCCACTCCCCCAAACAATGACAGCGTGGCAAATGGAAAAGTACACACTCAGCTATTAGCACATCGGACGGCTGGACGCGTTCTGTCAGTTGAGTGGCGAAACCAGCCGGCGGGTTTCTCCACGAAGGACGGCGAGCATACCGACCTGCTCTGCTTTGAGAGCAGGCTGCTGTTGCTCGGCTTCGCGAAGCAACGAACGGCGAGCTGTTCGCCGACCAACAACGCGGAACAGCCCCCGAGGAAGTAGTGAATACCTTCCGGATGACAAAGTATGATTCGCACCAAGCACCAGCAAATATACATCTGACTAGAAAGATGCACGTCTCCAACGATGGTATGAACAGGGGCCAATCGTCCTACAAATCATGTCTTATACATCGGCCAGGACCATCAGCATCAAACCTTCCCCGCCAGCTGTGCCAAAGGTCAAAGGTCAAAGAGACACCAGGCGGCCGGGACCCAAATCGAAGCGTTCGATCGCGGGTAGCTTGACCTCTTGAGCCACTTGCATGATTTATAAGCATTCCGTGTTCACCCGTCTTGTCGCATTCATCCAATCAATTGCTGTGGCCCATTTCAAAATGCACCATTATCGGTCACGCAAACTTGTGACACTTCCATCGACGGCGCAAGCTCGCACCAACTTGCTAGTCAGAAAGCATATCCGTGCTCGCGGCCCGTTGGCGTTTCATTCATTCGACACTAGCAATCGAGAGAATCACCAAAGCCGAAATAGCCTGAGCAGCGCTTCACTCACCTACCGCCTCCTGCGGATCCCAACACGTCGCTCTATCCGACGGACACCTGCCCCCAATACGTCAGAACAATTCCCTTGATCCTAAGCCCGCCAAACCGCACAAACAGTTCGGACATGAAAAACCGGATCACCTCGAGAATGACATCCGGCAGACCGGCCCTGGCATCTCCCGGCTCAGGCGACACGGCTGCACCGTCCCCATGCCACCTGAACGCCACTCAGCCACATCAACGTGACCAGAGCGCCGCTCCATCTCATCCAAGGACCAGACGGCGGCTCCATCGTCTCTCTGCGACTCCCGCCGCCACATGCGGTCGGC